GAGCTCTGCTAAATCGCTTGCTAAGCGCAAGCGACACAAATAATCGGGTAGCCCCCGAATCAAAAAGTACCATAGCTGAAATGTCTTTCACTAGGAACGACCTTGAGCACATAATCATAACATAAGCAATAATCAAATAAAATGATAATAAGAAGATGGAGAAGATACATACCAGTAACCACATCTGGAGTCGCTCGCGCCTCCTCTGCTGTCAACTGGAAGGCTATGCTCTTCGCCACTGATGCCTCAGCCCGCCCCTGACAGCCGTCTGTAATCCTCATAGTAGCAAGAGCGGGTGCCACCACCTTTACTGCTAATGCTAGACTCGGACAGTGGGACTTCTTGTGTCCCCTCTGATTGCAATGGAAGCAAATCAGATCAGATGTTGTGGTGGTAGTAGTGGTAGAAGTAGCGGTACAATCTCTGCTCACATGCCCAGTTCGGCCGCATTTGAAGCAGCCCGAACTCCCCGCCCTGCACGTCCCCTCGTGCGACCTGCCACACTTGCCGCAGCGGCCTCAGCCCTGTTGGCCCTTCCCTCAGGAATCTGTCTTGGGCTTCTTGCCCGAGCCCTCCATGCCAGATACCGACTCTAGCTTCCTCTTCCTCTCCATCTCTAAATCTATCTCCCTCTCACGATCCCTCGCAATCATATCCTCCAGCGTCTTACAGTTGGAACGGCTCACAAACTGGCGGATATCACTCCACAAAATCTCATGATATCGGGCCTTCTTCATCTCCTCGTCCGCCACATACTGCGGAACGAGAAGGGCCCTCTCCCTAAACTTGGTGGTAATCTCCGTCACAGTCTCTGTCGTCTGCTGGAGGTCCTGAAACTCCCTAGCAAGCTGCTGCACCTCAATGACAGGTGAAAACTCGGCCCTGAACCTGGTCGTGAAATCACTCCAGGTCATCGCATCCAACACAGTGTCATCTCCAATGACTCTCCCGACCTCCTCCCACCAATCTCGTGCCCTGTCCTTCAGAAGACAGGATGCTAGTCTGACCTTGTACCCCTCGGGACATCTGCTGGTGCGGAACGCGTTGGCGACATCCGCCAACCATCTGGTGCTTGCAATGGGGTCCCACGCCCCATGGTAGTCAGGAGCTCCACACGCTTTGAACTCCCTGAAAGTCAACGAGCGTGATCCCATCATGGCCGCTATCTCAGTACGGAATGCGCTCAACTTCTCATCCAGAAGCTTTAAGATACCCTCCTTGACCGACCCGAAAATCACAGGGGTCTGGTCTAGTATGCTGCGTGTGACCTCCGAGGAGATAAACTCCCTGGTCTACTCATCTAACTGTCCGGATCCGAAACCCGAGCCTGATCCCTCCCCGGCACCTGAACTGCCGATTGCTGGTCTAGTTCGTAAAACCACCATTTTGAAAATACATCAAAACCAACATCAGAATACTAATATAACTGGAGGGATCACATACACTACAAGTTCTCTGGTCTTATCTCAACCTTCCTTGATTCGAGTACGGGTCCTCTGCTTTCGGTAGTACGAGCCCATACTACCTTCCACATCTATCTGTACTTTCCTCAAGAGCTACCTCGACTCCACCAAGTCCCTTCTACTACTACTACTGCTGATCTCATACTAAACTCTTCCCATGCTTGCCCTAGGGAAATCACCAACCCACTCTCCGCCATCAGCTGCATAAGAAGTCCCTGCTTTCTTTCACTAACTAGCTCGCGAATACTGTTACATATTACTCAGACTAGATAATTCTTCGAATGAAAGATCCTACTCTACAACGGTTGGACTCAGACAAGAGCTGCGAAATAGAGCTAGACTTAACCTTCTGAAATTATTTAGTCCTTACAATATGCAACGTAACATATTCGTTTACTACTTAGTGAAAGATAACTAAGACTCCTAAAAGCACAAAGCAAGCAACATTCGAGCATCGAGTACACATAATCAAGCATCTACTACTCTGGCTATCATACTGACTAATCTGTGCTAGCATGCAGTTCATAGAGCTGAGGTACATATAACAGGTACATAAGGCATCCTTCCTATATCCTTAGTCCTAACTAGCATGCAATTCTCATAAAGCTGATACACATAACATAAACTTGTATGGGTAATTTGGGAGTACTTACTTGAGCTCGGCTGATTGCATGCACCACACCCTTTTCTCTTTTCATAGTTCTTTTCTATTAAAAAAATCCTTTTGTAAAAATGATTTTCTTTCGAAAGTTTCATACTTCTTCCTTAATTTGAGTTCAGACGCACCCGAAGGTGTGCCCGAATCCCTCAAACCAAGGCTCTGATACCAACTTGAAACATCCCAAAAATACTAGCCAAAAATTTCGTTTTCAAAATCATTTAGCAAACATAAATATCATTGCCATAGTATAAAACCATGGAACATGTATCTCAAAATCTCATAAAAACTGTTATCATATCACCATCTCATATAAAATATCATATCTAAAATATCAGAGTAAAACTCACAGGCTGAAGTCTGTGGTGTGTGCCATGCGATCATCCCGAGCCCTTCCCTTTGCTAGTGGAAGTACCTGAAACCAAAACTGAAAACTGTAAGCACAAAGCTTAGTGAGCTCCCCAAACTACCACATACCATACACATATAACATGCAACTAGGAGATACGGGTCACGCCCACACTCATGGAGATACGGGCCCCACCCACATTCTGCTAACTAGGAGATACGAGCCCCGCCCACACTCCACTATCGTTGAGATACAGGCCCCACCCACACTCATAGACATACGGGCCCCGCCCACACTCTCCTGCTATGAGTTACGGGCCCCGCCCACACTCAGCTACTATGAGATACGGGCCCCGCCTACACTCAGCTACTACTCTATCATAGAAGTATCACACATAAACAAGTATACTAAATTTATCATTCAATCCTGAGTCATATTGCAATAAAACTACTAGGAGATATGGGCCCCGCCCACACTCAACTAACTAAGAGTTACGGGCCCCGCCCACACTCAACTAATAATAAAATCATACTGCAGGCCGGCCTTGGTGCCTTAGACCCGTTCCTACTGAAGGGACACTCACCTCGTGTGTCTGGCTGCTAAAACCCTGAGTGAGAATTGTCTGGCTGCTGCTCCGGTGACTCTCCGGCTATAATTCCCACAATGACACATAGTCAGAAACTGATAACTAAACTCAGGGTGAAAATGACCATTTCACCCTTGGTCAACAATAATATTCTGGTCAAGTCACATTTCCAGTTGACCGGACTCGCCGAGTTGGCTCGACAACTCGCCGTGTCCCAACACTCTCATCTGCCCCCAACCCGAATCTACTCGTCGAGTCTAGCAAGAACTCGACGAGTTCTCCATCAATCATAACATCAAGAAAATATTCATCTGACTCGCCGAGTTCTTCTTGAACTCGTCGGGTTTATGTTTATCTTAAGAACGTGTCTAGCATGGGACTCGCCGAGTTGTATGAACAACTCGTCGAGTTCATCTTCATAAGTTAGGAGATGGCCTTGGACTCGCCGAGTACGTTCCTGCACTCGCCGAGTCCCATGGTTTCCAGTTCCATGCCTATGTCTATTTCACTGAGTCCTTTTCCTGGACTCATCCAAATCCCTTATGAACTAAAATGGGTTCCTCTGATTCATAATTGTTTTGGGTACCAACTCACGACTCGCCGAGTCCCAAGAACGACTCTCCGAGTCCATGCATGACCAAGTCTAATAATTCGATTTCTGATGTGCAAAACTCTTCCAGAAGGTAGATCTAGGCTCCTAAGATCGGTATAGCACGTAAAGCCACGAACTTTACGTTCATGCATGGGAGTTTTATGCTCAAAGGACCAAAAATGGGGTTTATTTCATTCTTGGGGTTCTCATGGCCATAAAGATGGCACCTTTATGCCATGAGGACCCTCCAAGGTTTCAGATCTGAGTGTAAATCGACTTGGGACGTCCAAGTCCCAATGATCAAGCTTCTTGGACCCAAAACTTCATAAAAATGGCAACAAGAAGATCTAAGAAACTACAAGTCAAGTTTGAAGCTTGATTACCAGAAAGTGAAGAGAAACTGATGTTGTTCTTGGATCTACTCTTTCTCCCTTGAATCTTCTACCTTCCAACTCTTTCACTAGCTTCAAAATATACCAAACAACTCTCAGAACCACCAAAGAAGCTCAAGACCACTTATGGAGGATTAGGGTTTCGGGATAAATGTTCTGGAGGTGATGGAGGCTGGACAAGAGGCCCATAATGTTGCTTAAATAGGGTGCAAACCCTAAATATTATGGTTTGCCCAGACTGGCCTACTCGTCGAGTCAAGGCGCGGACTCGCCGAGTAGATCACTTAAACCCGCATCCCATCCTGGCATCTACTCGACGAGTTAGGGCTACTACTCGTCGAGTAGCTCTTTATAAAATGACATTTAATGAATTAAATACGTACCAGAAACGGGACGTTACATTAGTATTAAATATGAATTTAATATTATTTTTTTAAACATGTAAACCAACAAGAAATATTTTTTAAACGGGTCAAAATAGAATAGAATTTTATAAACGATAAATATGAGTTTAATAAAATTTGTAAAAAAACTAATCTATATATTAAAATAATATTTAATTACCTTTTAAAATTCTGTTTTCCTTTAATTAAAAAGAAAAAGTCCGAAATACTAGTGTTTTTGTTTTTTAAAGTTAGCATAATAATTTTTTTTTTTTTTTTAAATTGACAAAAAAATATAAAATTTTAAAACATTTGCACTTAATTAAAACCTGCCAACAAATTGATGCAATTTATGGCCATAATTAGCCTGTGCAAGCCTACTCATTCATAATCTGACCTCCTTTCTGAGTTCAGCCATCGCAGTAGCGTGCACGGGTGGGTTTGATTTGAGAGTTGCGACTCGCCTCTTTCGAGAGTGAAGTTTCCCTTCTGTCCACGTTCTTCTGTTGCGCGTGGGAATTATTGGCCATCAAGGATATGAACCCATGTTTGCCACATATACTTTTCTTACAAGAATATGAGGGTTTCAGCCCACCAAAACAAGTATAATATTTCCACCATCATCACCAGTTCACCACAAACTTAAAGTCGAACAAACAACAGTTATCAATCAATCTTCAAGCTGAAGTTGCAATCTGTCTTCATCTTTAATCTATTCCTTTGTTATCTGTAAGTTCATGTTCTTGGTGTTTTGTTTATTGATTTCATCATCTTCTCTGTCTTTTACTTCTTACGCAGAATCTTATTCGAATTAGAACTGTTCCCAGATCATAAACCGTAACTTGTCGTTGATTCTTGAACTGGGTATTTTAGAAATTTGTTGTTCGTCATCGATTACTGATTTAAATCTTGTGAAAAAAAAAAGTGAAAGGGGGGAGTTATCTTTTCGTGGAGATAAGATAAAAAATTCTAATTCTGTGTTTTTCCTGTAGCAAAAACTGACTTTGAGATTGATTTCTCGAGATGGGGTTTTGTTTTTATGTTGTGTTTGGTCGTATTCGATGCGATTGAAGACAATCACATGACATGTGAACTCAATTGTCAAAAAAGGGCTCTTCGCAATTCGACTCCAATTCTGTCCTATTTGTTATCTCCTTTCAAATTAAGCAAATCAATTCGAATTGGGGTTTACACCTTTTCCTTCTTTCAAGTTCTTGAATTCGGATTCAGCTTTAGGGTTCTTGAATTTCACAAAGATGCAAAGAGTTCGCGTTTCATCACAGCAAGTCCCAGTACAGAAATTAGGCGATTCCCAGATGACATTATCTCCTAAATTCAAATTAGCATCAATTCAATCTCGTTTACTCGATCCTTTGTTGGAATCAGAACTGAATCTTCAAGGTGATCCCTTAATCCCTGGTCTTCCTGATGATATTGCTTTAACTTGTCTACTCCGGCTACCAGTCACCACCCATCCAGCCACCAGAGCAGTTTCCAGACGGTGGTATCAATTATTCTGCAACAAAGAACGATTCTTTACTAAAAGAAACGAAATGGGTTTTCAAGATCCATGGTTATTTGTCTTCTCATTTCATAAATGTACAGGAAAGATTCAATGGCATGTTCTTGATCTTACCCATTTTTCATGGCACACAATTCCACCAATGCCTTGTGTTGATAAAGTTTGTCCACATGGCCTTCGATGCGTTTCATTTCCCTCAAACGGGTCTCTTTTCGTATGTGGAGGCATCATTTTTGACGCCGATTGCCCCCTAAATGTAGTGATGAAATTCGACATTAAGAAGAATCATTGGACTATAATGAAAAAAATGATCACCGCAAGGTCTTTTTTTGCATCCGGGGTGATAAACGAGAAGATCTACGTGGCGGGGGGGAATAGTACGGATCTTTTCGAGCTCAATTCGGGCGAAGTTATGGACCCGAAAAACGGGATTTGGCATCCGATTGCAAATATGCGTACAAATATGGCGGTTTATGATGCTGCGGTTCTTAATGGGAAGCTTTTGGTGACCGAAGGGTGGTTTTGGCCTTTTTATGTGGTCCCACGTGGACAAATTTACGACCCGAAAACCGATAATTGGGAAAATATGGCGGATGGGCTTCGAGAAGGGTGGACAGGGTCGAGTGTTGTGATATACGGGCATTTGTTTGTGGTGACAGAGCACGAGAGGACTAAATTAAAAGTTTATGATATGAATTCGGACACTTGGAAACCGGTTGATGGGCCTCCATTACCGGATAAAATATGTAAGCCGTTTTCGGTAAATTGTTATGGTAGTTTTATTTATGTTGTGGGGAGGAATCTTCATGTTGCAGTGGGTCGGATTTTGAATGTGAGTGGAAAAGAGAAAAGTCCGGGGTTTTTGGTGGAATGGGAAGTTGTTGAGGCACCCGATGGGTTGGGGAATTTGACGCCTTCGAGTGCGCAGATTCTGTTTGGGTAATGTACTTTGTGTTGGTGTTGAGATATGTGAAAGGTTTTATATGATTTGGTTGGTGTTTATGTGATTATATTGTGATTGTTGTTTTTGTAACGTTATACAACGTTTCTTTTGAATGTTAATGATCCTTCCTTCTCGAACGACCAACGACTTTGGTCCTATTTGCTTAAGAATTATTGGATTTGGGTTTTTAACGGTTCAAAGTGAGTAAACTCTTAAAACTTAGATTATTTTTGATTATTTTTAATGAGTTAGTATTTGTTTACTATATTCCTAACTTATTAGCTTATTTTATATTTTATTATTATTTGTTATATTCGACCAGTGAGTGGTTAATATATTTTAACGTTTTGTATATTTAACCGTCTTATTTTTTATTCATTTATATTCATATTTCATTTTATAACGTAATTATATTTTAATCCAAGTTTTAAATAACGTTAGACGTGATTTGGTGGCAATGTCAAGCCTCAAGCTTTTCTGAGCATTGACGAACACGTCGTTTGTAAGGCGTGAAATAAGGCGACAATTTTGTATATAATTAATATTTTTTTTATGTATTTTCAACTATTATTCGTTTTTATTCACATATATGAGTTAAGTCGGCGTTTTAGTAAAACTTGACGGCATATACAAGTCTTGGAGCCATGACGAGCTTTTTAGAACCTTGATTTTAATTATAAATAAGTCTAATTTATTTACTAGTTAATTATTTTATCATATATTTTATGATATTTTATTTATGAAATATAAATTTATAACAATTATATAATATTTAACCTTTTTATAATTATGACGTATTTATTAATTAATTAATTAATTAATTAATTAATTAATTTTTCTATTTTACGTTTATAAACTAATGATCCGGTATTCCGCTTGTTTCTCATTCAACGTCTATAAAATAGAGTAAATTACATGAATCATCGCGTGTTTAGGCGTCAAAACGCACGTTCAGTCCTTATTTTTAAAAATTAATTTGGACCATCCCTTATATCGTAAAAACATGCACGTTTCTTCCCTAAAATCGTTTATCATACTTAAAAAATCTATTTTACTCTTATACATTTATTTTTGAGCTGTTTACTTATTAATTATTTAAAAAGAAAAGAAAAGAAAATCCCTTCCCCTTTTGTCATTTATCATTCACTTGTGGATCCCCACCATTTTACCCTTTTGCATTGTTTGTCGCTCTTCTCTATTTTTTGAACAAGATCTCTAACACCATAACCACCCTAAATCCTTCATCCTTTATCTGTTCATTTTCAAAAGAGCTAGAGAGATGGGTCACCGGAGCCACCATCGTCGTCGTCGAAGCTACCGAGAGAGACCCGTACAATGTGTATCCTTCTTTAGTTCTTTGACTTTCCAATGACACATGTCCCTCTCAAATCAATGTTGCCGCCCTCGCTTGCTACTCCACATCTTCTTCTCTTGCAAGTTCTGCTGCTACACTTGGAAAAAACCTAAATCGTGTAGAACAAAATGATGAAGTGATGAATCGAGAATGTATCAGAGAAAATGATCAAATGAACACAAAGAGTAAATATAATCTGGTTTTCAGCTCATATTATGCTTCCAATTCTTACAGAGAGAAAGTAGACAAGTTGTACTCAGACTCTTATCTAACTCTAAGTAAAGTCCCTATTTATAGGAGACGTGAAAGCATACAAAAAATTACAAGGACTCAAACACTAAGCTTCGATACAAAATGCCTTGTAAAATAACATTACAAACTTCAACATATTACAATAAAACTTCGACCCTTACACAAAACCGTAAATCGCCTGATTTGTGTGTGTGTGCTGGTGTGGCAGATATAAGGTTGCCGACGACGACAATCCCCTTACGACGAAAATGGGTGACCGAGGTTGATCCCCTTAGTTTGGATCTATTCTTCACCCGATTTTTCTCCCTCACGTCCGGAAAATAGTAGATATGTTATTCACCCTTCCTCTATTTATGTGGATTCTAGATATAGGGGATGATAGAGCTATATTCATGGCTAAATCTTCAAGGTTTTGCAGATGCTGAGGGTCTAGTCTAAGGTTTTGCAGATAGGGAAGATTAGCAGGATAAGTTGGTCGACTCTTCTTACATCCCAACAGTTCCAGATAAAATTTTTGTTTTTAATTCATTCCAAATCATTCAATAGTCATATCAAAACAACCAAAAGTGTATCATAGTCGAAATAATATCAGAGTACAAAATCTCAAAATCACATAATGCGGAAAAAATGGGCGGATGCGGTGCGATCATGCTGGACCCTTCCCTTTCTAGCTGGAAGTACCTGGAACCATAACATAAACTGTAAGCACAAAGCTTAGTGAGTTTCCTCAAAATACCCCATACCATACATACATAACAGTCAAAACATAACTGGGTCTATTTCACCCATTCGCTCTCTTTCAACCGGTATTGGGTATATTTCACCCCCTTCGGTCTCTTTCAACCGGTACTGGGTCTATTTCACCCCCTTCGGCCTCTTTCAACCGGTACTGGTATATTTCACCCCTTCGGTCTCTTCCAACTGATATCGGGTCTATTTCACCCCTACAACTAGCATACAATCATACCAGCAAGAGTCATAGAGACAACAAGCATATACATGCATAACATGAAATTGTCACGAAGACAGCTATCATCTTACGAACATAATCCAGTGGGCCGACATTAGTGCCTTCGACCCACGAGTACAATGAAGGGACTCACCTCATTCCGAAGATAAACTAATCACACTCGGCTGCTGAATCGTAAAATCCCCATACTAAATCACAAATAATAGAACCCTAATTAGTAATTAGGTCATTAACCTAACTGAGAGTCCAAATCCTTAATCTCGACTCATAAGGGTAAAAGACTGTTTTACCCTTCCCTTATTGGGCCTAATATATCGCGGTCCAAACCCAACTAGCCCAAAGTACAAAAGACACTTAAGACTTAATATGGGCCTTAGGGATGAGAGTGGGTCCAAACCCCGACCGGTAGACCCGGACCCGGAAAACCCGGGAAACGGTTAACGGGATTTTGTAGGACCGGAAACCGGACCGGTATATAGGAACCGGTTCCGGTTTAGTTTCGGGTAAGGTACCGGGTAAAGTGGCTCTAGAACCGAAAAACCCAGAAACATTAAAGTGGGTCGGGTGGAACCGGGTAAATTGGGTCTAGAACAGGAAAACCCGGGAAATCTGGAATTTTTTGGTAATTACTTAGTGGTTGAACTTCGAAAATTTTCAACTTTGATATCCCAACTTCGGGAGACTGTAAGTCATTGAATATTAACCAAAAAATAACAAAATTATAGTCTAAAATCATATACAATCTCTGAACTACACGTTGCAAAAAACCTCATTATAATCTGACATCAAACGAATTAGATATGCATTTTTAAAATTTCACAAAATATAAAAATAAAGCTGAAAAACAGAAAATTCACAGCATTGATATCCCAACTGGGAACTGTAAGTCAATGAATATGAAACCAACAATGACAAAATTATAGTCTAAAATCATGTATAAACTCTAAAATACACGTTGAAAAAAACCTCATGATAATCCGACTTCAAACGAATTAGATATTCATTTTTAAAATCTCACAAAACATAAAAATAAAGCTAAAAAACAGAAAATTCACAACATTGATATCTCGACTTTGGAGGACTGTCAGCCAATTAATATGAAACCAAAAATGACAAAATTATAGTCTAAAATCATTTACAAACTCTAAACTACAATTTGCAAAAACCTCATGATAATCCGACTTCAAAAGAATTAGATATGCATTTTGAAAATTTCACAAAATATAAAAATAAAGCTGAAAAACAGAAAATTCACATCTTTGATATCCCGACTTTGGGGAATGTAAGTCAATGAATATTAACTCAAAAATGACAAATTTATAGTCTAAGATCATGTACAAACTATAAACTACACTCAGGAAAAACCTCATGCCAATATGACTTTAAACGAATGAGATATTCATGTTTTAAACTTTTCATAAAAATCGGTTCCGGTTCCTTACACGGGTTTCGGTTCTTAAACCCGGTTTATCCGAAACCGAAGGACCCGAAACGTGGATTACCCGGAACCCGGATAAAAACATTCTTTAAACACGGGACCCGGACCAGTTCTACATATTCCGGTTCTAACGGTTCCGGTTACGGTCCGATTCCGGTTCCGGTCCGGTTTTCCGGTTCCAAATCTCATCCCTAATGGGCCCAAATCCATAAAGTCCCAAGGCCTAACAATGGCCCAACTCAGAAAAGACTTGTGGCCCAACAAGAGCACAAAACCCTAGAGTCCAAAAGCGACCCAAGATCAAAAGCCCACTAAGCCCCTGATCGAGTACGATAAGCGTACCACTAGTATGTCCAACGTACTAGGTCGCGACACCAGAATCAGGAACCCGGACGCGTACGCTTAGCGTACACTTTCGTACGCCCCAGTTAGCCAAAAACGTCCATTAAGCACTTAATGCTTTAAGTCTAACGTCCAAAACATAGATATAACTTCGAAATAAGGTCTTAATCCATAAATTTTCCAACTTTATGATATTGCATGACTTAAAAAAGGCATAAACTTCATTTCTAGCTTCTATACTCCATAAGGTAACCATTAAGTCATGCATGGTTGGACCAAAACCATCAAGACATGATTTTTATGAACAAGGGACCCCAAAAACACCAATAAGTACATCCCAAATCTTTTGGAGTAGCTTTTATTCACAAAGACCAACTTATGGGACCAAAATATGCTCACAACCCTAACTAACCTAAATCTAAGCAATGAATCATCAAGGTTAAGACTTTATACCTCATGGAGGTTGAAAATGATGGATGGACTCTGGATCTTCAAGCTCTTACTTGATCAATGCTCCTCTACAAGGCTTCTTCTTCTTCTATATGCACCACACACACACACACACATACACACCAAAATACACACAAGGCTCAATCCCTTGAGAAATGGGTTAGGGTGTCACACCCCCGAACCGAGTAAATGGC